GCAGGTGTCTATGGTGGGGAACGAACGCGCTATTATCCTTTCCGGGGAGTAACGCGTTCACCACCACACCATGCGGGTCCTTGTCTCTCAGCTATTTCTATCGATCTTTTTGCCACAGCAATTACCCGTCAGCGGGGTTGATCTGGGGAGCGCAAATCGGCATAGAACCCAGTTAAGCTATGGCTGTAGTTGAAATCACAATGTTTAACGTTTTGTTTTCTGCCTTCTATAATTTTCATGGCAGGTTACTAAGCGAAATACAACCACAACGTTGCTGAGATATTTCCAAAACTCTGGACCGCAGGTGTCTATGGTGGGGAACGAACGCGCTATTATCCTTTCCGGGGAGTAACGCGTTCACCACCACACCATGCGGGTCCTTGTCTCTCAGCTATTTCTATCGATCTTTTTGCCACAGCAATTACCCGTCAGCGGGGTTGATCTGGGGAGCGCAAATCGGCATAGAACCCAGTTAAGCTATGGCTGTAGTTGAAATCACAATGTTTAACGTTTTGTTTTCTGCCTTCTATAATTTTCATGGCAGGTTACTAAGCGAAATACAACGCGTTACTCCCCGGAAAGTATAATAGCGCGTTCGTTTCCCACCATAGACACCTGCGGTCCAGAGTTTTGGAAATATCTCAGCAACGTTGTGGTTGTATTTCGCTTAGTAACCTGCCATGAAAATTATAGAAGGCAGAAAACAAAACGTTAAACATAATGAAGTTGATGTTAAATTTCAGATGTTTACGAATGAAACTCTCAAAGTCCTTAATCACTGTCGCGCGAAAAGATACAATTCAATGGTCACTGAAGTGCAAAAATGTGGTATGCGAGAGGTACGAGAGCTGATAAGGTTGGAAAACAGAAGACTATCCGTTAGTGATAAGGGTGGAGAGTTTGTCGTAATTACCCATCAGTTAGATGTTGAGATAACGAAAAATCATCTTGAAGATGCTTCACTTTATCGCCCATCATCTGAAGAGTTTAAAAGTAAATATCGAAAATTGAACCACGAATGGGTCAAAATGGCAAAGGGTGCTGGTTTAAAACCATCAGTTATCTCTCAACTAAAAGTTGACTTACCAGCGTGTCCCATCTTGTATTTACTTATAAAAACTCATAAGTTAGTGTCCAGCGATGATTTTGCGTCTACCGGTCCATCATTATTTAAGGTTAGACCTATCATTAGCTGCGTAGACAGGCCAACGGACAGCATAGCATGGTTTTTTAACCCTAATATTTAAGCAGTTGTTCAAACACATTCTAGCCCATCTTACGAATACCCAGATGTTTCTGGATCGCCTACGTACTGCCCAGCCCTACGTACTGATAGAGTCCCTCGACGTTACCGCCCTTTATACAAACGTGTCGAATAACTCCGCAATGCAAGCCATATTCGAACTCCTTATACAACATGAAGGAGAAATAAACATGTATGGCTTCAAGATAGAGCAGTTGATGGCACTCTTAAAAGAATGCTTGAGCTGCTCAATCTTCAGGTGGTCCGGAAAGTACTACGCTCATATAAGAGGGTTGGCAATGGGACAGCGACTGGCACCAAGCCTAGCCATTGCGTTTGTCTAAGGTGGAAGCACTGGTGATTGATCTCGGGCCGATACTCTACTGTAGATATATAGATAACTACTTTGTTCTTTGTTCAACACAAGAGGAAATGGACAAATATTTCGAGTTGTTGAACGAACAGTCAGAGCATATCAAGTTCACCCGAGAGAAACCAAAAGAAAACTGGCTTCCATCCCCGAATGTCCAAATTAACCTGTCAGAAAATGGCTACATTACGAAGTGGTACCGAAAGCCAAGTAGAAAAAACATTTTGGTTCATTACCTCTCCTTTCACCCCCTCTCACACGAAAAGGACGCTTGTAAGAAACATGTTTCGAACAGCAACCAACGTGTTCACGGGAAAAGAGCAGAGAGAGGAGTCCCGGAACTTGGCGCGGTAAATAACCATTTCTAATGGCTACGAAAGTGTAGCTCAGGATAAGTGTAGAGAAAATCCTAGGCTTCCAAACGACAACTCTAGCGATAGAAGGGTCCCGTTTATCCTACCCTTCATCTCAAATGATGTAAGCACAGCTATAAAACGCTGCTTAAGAAGGGCGGGTCTAGAGAATTCGGTAAGCGTAGTTGAAATGCCACCGAATAATCTTAAGCGCCAGTTAGTTCGTAACCGCCTATATGACCATCTATGTGCAACGCAAAATTGCATAATTTGCCCCAATGGTAGAGATGGTGACTGCATGAGTTCGGGTACAGTCTATCTGACCTCTTGTAAAGCGTGCGGGGACGAATACGTTGGCGAAACGGGTGGACCACTCTGCGTCCGCATAAAAGAACACCTAGCCGGCAAACGTCTGCCAAATACCCCACTAGGCACGCATAGGACACAGAGACAAAACGGGGAGGATTTTGAAGTACGTGTCACGATCCTCGCACAGGAATCAAGAACGCAGGCGTGCAATACTCTCGAGGCTTTCTGGATTAATTCCAGAAATCCGAAAATGAACCGCAGGGAAGAATGCTCAGTGAGGTTACAGTTGGTACAGGTGATTATCAACTTTATGTTTGTTCATCGAAGAAAAACAATGAATTGTCGATCTGCGCCGAGGTTAATTGGAAATTGGTCTTGGAAACTTTCTTTATTCTGATAGAGCGAATTCTCCTCTAGAAACATATTAAGTAGTAAAACTTTTTGGGTTTTCTAGTTACAGGAATTTATTGGGAGTTATTTTAAAGAAATTCATGATTCCTTATGTACGTCGTACTAAGTTCAATTTTTCATTTGCCCCAATGGTAGAGACGGTCATCCGGGTCCATGGTCCACAGTTGTTCTTGTTCTATAGTTCTTTGTTTTTTTTTTTCATAAAATATATTGTATAGTAGTGACTGGATATAAGAAGAAAAGCTACTTTTGTAATCTTGTGATGTTCTCAGCCCTATAGGTCCTCTTCCTGTAGAAAATTTGTTTTCGAAAAAAAAGGTTATCTCTAAATCGCGAGGAAGTTCGCGTATGGCCTTCCCGAAGTCAATGGTGTTCGTGAATGTGTTAGCCACGGTAACTCTTGATCTGTTATGGGCCTATATTTATTGCTGCTTACATCTTCATGAAATAACCCACATGGTCAGTAAATTTTCGATGACTCTGCATAAAGCTAACTTTTTATGTATTGTCTAGTAATTTTTTAGTGGAGGGTATTATGTGAAATATAACCGCAATTGTGCTGAGATATTTATAGAACTCCAGGCCAAAGGTGTCTGTGGTGGATACCTAACATCTGTGGAGCACAAATCGAAATTGAACCTAGTTAAGTTGAGGCAATAAATAAGAATTTAACATTGTGATCTCTACTGCGACCTCTTCCGTTTGCGTTTGATGAAGTTCAATACGCCTTAGTACCCATGCTACGATGAAGAAAGTGGCCTTTTTGACGTACGTTGTCGGAAGTATTTAGCTGATATATTGTCCAATAATTTCTACAATCGAGTTTCTAGGGTTTTCTTTGCTACATTAGGTGTATTTTTTTAAAGTCGATTGTCAATTGTGGAATAGTCTTTCTGGGACCACACAACATGGAATCTAATGTGTATAAGCTACTGATTGAATATGAAAAGAAAAGCAGTAGAACTATGTGAAGCTAAATAAACGTCCGAGAGAAAAAAATTGGAGGGTTGTGATGGAATGACACATTTCAGTGTCATTAATAGGGAATGACAAGGTGCAATGATCAAAGTGAAGTGATCGATATATTGGAGTTGGAGACAGGTGTTTATCACTGTCGAGAGCGTTTTTCATAAGCATTCTTCGATCAGGTTCATTCGATGTTGTGAAAATGAAGATAAATACGAATAAATACGTAGTACAATAAGTGTTTTTTTACATTTAGATGTCAGCTCATCAAGACTTAATCATCCTGTCGAAATTTGTCACCGGTAGACTTGAATTCCATTCAAGTTTTAGTTTCCTTCATTTCATCTTTACCCATTTGATATCAGTTTTTTCATTGCGTTTTTCCAGCCTTACTTCTAGTCACTCGAGGATCTTTAAGTTATCTCGCTTTGCTCTTAATTCGTTGCATGCAATGTTTATGTTTCTTTATTTCCATCGAAAAATTGTTTAGCATTAAGTTTTGAATTATCCGCTATGTTGAGGTTTGTAATTTGTATTGAGAAATGTTTTTACAGTGTGACTTAGAATGGTGAATAAATCACAAAATTTGGAAACACTAAGGTAACTCTTCTAACTTGTTCATGTTAATTTCTTTAAAACTTCCCCTTAGATCTGATCTGGTCTGGAGCTAATCTCTTAGAATATTGAAAAGTAAAACGCCTTTTGAATTCGTAGCACTGAGTTGTTTAGGAGAATACACTGATTGTTTTCTCATGATATCGTTGAAGAGAAGAAAGTTGCTAAACGAGTTTCGGCTATCGACTCTACAATGGTAAAGAACGCTATTTCTCTTTATTATACGTTTGTTTATTGTTCTTTTTCGTGTATATCTACTATTTTATATGTGCGCATTATCAAATTGAGTGTTTGCTCTTCTTGCTAGCAGTAAAGTTTTCGTGAAGAATTTTGTTACTGTTATCACTGAAAAGTTGTGATAAAAAGATTGATCGATTATATTTCTTTTCATGAATCATGTGATATTTCGAGTCGGCCCATAGTGAAATCAGAGAAAAAAACTTGGCATTTAGCTGTCACATCAACATTGTATGGTCAGGTTTAGGAAATAATACAGTCTTTGAGAAAATGAAAATTATTGTGAAACTATGCAAAGTGACTTCATAGGCGACGTCTAGCATTGAAAGGATCTGTTCTAGCAGTTCATTGAAGTAGACATAGTGTGATACCACTTCACAAGCCTGCCGATGCTAACGTCCAATCGATTTTTTAGGGTCAAGGTGGTTTAGCTCCTATGTACTCTTCGGCATTTCTGTTTACTATGTAGAATATTCAACATATTTTGTAGTTTCAGATGTTGTCAACTACAAAACCATGGCTAACTGATTCGAAATTCCTACAAAAGAATGAGCTTCGCCAAGAAATTGGTGCACGCTTAGCGAAGATACCACCAGAGGAAGTGAAACGACAAAGTGACATCGTTGTCGAAAAGGTCCAAAAACCCAAGTTCTAAGTTGCATGGTTTCCTATTCGGAAAAAGGTTTGAGTGTTCGTTAAGCAGTCATGTCGAAACCATGAGTGACAAGTAATTATCAATTGTCGATAAGGATGGATACCAGGGATATCCACTTGTTGGTGTTTTCGGCAAATTTGGATACCAGCCGTAAAGTGTGTGACTTTGAAGTGCATCAACACTCACGAACCATATCTCAGGAACTCGTCATTGCATTAAGTGCTAAGCACATTGATCAGTGCCAATAGACAGCCTAGGTGAAAAGGGAAAACTAAGCCGTTTACTGGACGAGTCTCTGGTTATTACACAAATTCATTGTTGTGTCAATCGGCTTTTGCCATGCACTAAATCTACATAATGGAAGGATTTTTATCTCTAGGTGCTTTCATCAGAATGGTTTAACAATGCGAAGCGAATCTCTGTGTATCTACACATAGCTGGAGAAATTGAAACGGATCGTATAGTCGAAAAATCACTGGAACAGGATAAACAACTCTTTATACCTCAAGTAAGAAGCACCTTATAATCCTTTTGTAACAACGTGATACTTAGCTGACAAGCAGTAACACCCTCGAAACAATAGTAATATAGGTCTGGTTTCTACAAGATTTAATTCCTACTATTTCTGATGAATCTCGCTTAGATATTTTGCGTTGTGCACGTGTTAGACTAAGGTTTTGGGCTTTTCTAACCTGTATATTGTACAAGCACAATATCACTGCAGTCAGCTTCCGTGGCGATTCCGTACGAGTTCTTGTTTCAGCAAAAACCAACTTCTACTACATTTGATTAATCTCACGTAGATAAGCTTTTTTGTGCATATGCTAGCTCTTAATGAAGCTCTTGGGCCCTTGGGATTATGAAAGTACTACTAAAATATGGTGATGTATATGCCAGAGATATCACTGAAGTCAATTTTATCCTGTAAGGCAAATTTTCTTGCCTCGTTTTTTTTTGTTTTGTAGAAGTCCGAAAGTGCCTCCCAACGGTTTACCGCCTCATTGTCGCTGGGAGGTGTTCTTGCGTGTCAGACTGCGATGTACAGCGGGCGATTAGTCCCCCGACAGAGTCATCCAAGCTGAGAAGAAGTCCGGCTTTTCCATCAGGAAGCCTAGCTAAGAGTAAACCAATACCAGGATCCACTATCGTCCTGGTATCAAAGTCGCATGGTGGCGATTCTCTGTCTGTTCCACAAAGGCTGCAACTGTCCGTGGTAGTGAAGACCTGGGGCAGACTTTGGTCAAACTGTTCTCGGAATTCCAAGGAACCACAATGACTTAACCAGCAAATCTCCGAAAAATGGTGATTATGCTGAAGCCCGTACAACCAGTGAGGACGGGCCGTTCAAGTGGCAAGTGTCAAAAGGCCATTTATAAATTTCCTTCTTTTTTTAGCTAGGAAATCTTTCAGATGAGTAAGCAATGTATACGAATTTATTGCTATCGAATATTCGAGTGTTCGCTGATTCGATAAATAGTGGTCTACCTGTGTGCGAATCAGAAGGTACTCTTCCCAGACAAGTATAGTACCAATTTCGTGACCACAGAGATGGGAGCTTGATTGGTCTAGTGCGTGGTAGATCCAGGAGCTTACGCTTATCGAAGAGCATTCCCATCACTGCACTATTCATGTCCCTGAACATTTTTTGATATAGAGCAACAGCCACATTGACTTTAATAACTCCACGGTTTTCACTGAAATGCCCAACTGAATGGTTGCAATCGCGAAACAAAAAAATTGAGTTGAAATTGGTTCTCATGTTGTTGTTTTCTTGATGTGTCAACACGATGACCTTAATGCAGCACTGTTTCTTAAAATAAGGGAAAGTAAATCGAACTTCATTTTTCGTTCCAGTTGATTCGTAAGGATCCACGAATGCGTATGCTTCGAGTTCCAACACTGCGTGATTTCAAAGAATTGAAGCCTACCTTATGGGGTATACGACAGCCAACTGTTGAGCAACACTGGGAAAGCTACGAGGAATCAGGTAGAGTGTATTTCTATTACACTTTCATAAAGAAACGCTCAATTTAATGCCGTCTGTCCTATATAGTACAATTTTGTTATGCTGTGGAAGATGGAAGCCGGACTTGAGAAAAATTTCATCGTCGACCAAAATCTAGATTTCCATTTAGTTCACGAGTTCGAAAGTCAGTTTGTTCAGGACCACTGGATCTCATAATTGTTCCTGGAGTGGCGTTCACTTTAACGGGAGAAAGGCTAGGCCATGGAATGGTACTCTTTTTTCTTCAAATCAATCAACGTACCTTCTTTTTTGAATATCGATTTTTTGTTTTGAATTCCCTTCCTTATCCGCTTCGTACAGAATTATGAAGACTGCCACGATCTTAAAAACTTTGAAATTTTCTGAAGTTTTTTTCGCTAGTGCTAATATATATATATATATATATATATATATCCGGTTCGATTCCAAATTTGCCTTGTTCTCAGTTACTGAATATTTGTGTTTCGATGAAGTTTTGTCTAAAGTTGTAATCAAGCCTGTTATTGATTTTTAACTTCAATCGATATTATTTCAAAAAGTTTCTTTTCGCGAAAAACTGCGTAATTTGATGCCTAAAGACAGTTTTCGTGTCTGTTTCTATCTATTTCGCCTTCTCTCTTTCGCCTTTCCACCTTTTACCTTTTGCCGAATTCAGTAGCCTGCAAAAATGATTAGGCATTCGTTATGCAAAGCACAGACGTCATGTAACGTATGGATCACGATCGGCCGACGAATTGATCAATTCTTTTTATGGAGATGGTCAAATAAACAGATACTTCTTACCAGAACGTTCAATTTTTTCTTTCTAGGGCTATTATGACCGTGCACTAGCTGAACATCAACAACGGTTCGGTACGATGCCAATTCGATACGGTCTGGCGCTTCGGGAACAAGTCGTCGACGTGGTCCCATTGGTCGAAACGGACGTTCGTTTGGACGGCGTGATTCGAGCTGAATAGGCATTTGAACCCTTATCTAGTTTATCTACATTTGTACTTCCTAATATACTATAGTATAGTACACTGTAGAAATCAAACATATCTGTACATGTGACAGATCCATTCTTATCACAATTGAATGCGTTCTTTCATGTGATGTATTTAAATTCAACAATTTTTGGATCAGTCTATCTAGAATGTGTTTTAAGACTTATGGAACGTTTTAGTGTCTGTTGTTAACCAAATTTGTCATAGTGATTATTTAATAAACTGCAAAATTCAACTGAAATTGCCCAGTGTGTAATGCGTGAACCCTCAGGAAGGGAAATGGTGGTTCGATCTGGCCTGGGGTCCAAGTTTTGCGAATATCTCAGCATTGTTGTGATTGATTTCGAGTAATACCCTGTCGTGAAAATTGTAGTGGGCAGTAAATAAAAAAGAAAACTGCGAAATTTTGAATCGTTTAGATTTTATAAAGTAAAAAAGAATCAATTATAGCTGCAGTTAGAATAGTGGGATTGTATTTTTGTCCACCTTTCCAACAGCATAATGAGATGTCCTTTAAAGTCTTTAAGGTAGCACTGTAGTTTACGTTCACTAGTGCGCGGGTGTATTTAAGGTGTGGAAATTTCTGGTGAGAAATCATGCGAAAAGATAGTTTTTAAAAAAATATTCCGGCCCCTTAAATTCTTCCGAACACTTCCTCGTATTTCGTACCACAAACAAGTCCCGAATATACAATAAGGGCAGTAATTATGCTAATTAGACTCGACGACCATGGAAAACAACGCGATAGGACGAAAAGCGGCTAGCCGATGTGAGAAGCACTTTTCGTGAAGTGAATTCGTTTCAGGAAGCAAAGAACTAGTGCGGTTACTGTAGGCGTACTGTACGTGTGCAAATATGCGTGTGTCACCACAATTCTGACGTGATCACGTAGATCAAAGCGGTAGAACGCCACGCTGCCGCCGCATAGTGACCGACGATCGATCGCGAGAGAGCGCAGCTGCAACGGAGCGCGGAAGACGATGCGCAGCTGCGGCGCCACCCACCGCGCGGCGGCCAGCGACCGCGCACCACTGCAGTCCGCAACGACGGCGACGACTGCGCAGCACACGCAGCCGTCGTCGCCCTCGGCCAGCCACTTTCTGAAGCCGACGGGGCGGAAGTGACGTCATCGTTGTAAAACTGGATCCGTACAATCCTCAACCGCAACACGCTATGGCACAGGACGCCGCCGCCGCCGCGTTCGTCGATCCGTGGCATTCTGGCGGGTCAGTCGCGTTTTATTGATTTTCCATTATGAATCGTTTTTCACTGCTTTATTGGTCGTTCTAGATCTAGTGACATTTACGAATATTGCTTGGGAATCGATTGGAGTGTGATTTATTGCTCAAAATATATTTGACTATAAGATCCGCGTTTCAAGGGAGCCATGTTTTGAGTCTACCAGTTTTTTTTACTCCAAAGGGCAAGTGACGAGAACTTGCGTACCTCCTGTCTTTTTCAATTATCTTATACGATCTTGTTAGCATAATTTAACTTATTATTTACTGCCTACTCTTTTTAATGGCAAAGTATGTTGCGAAATATAACTTCAATGATGCTGAGATATTTGCAAAACTCCAGACCGCAGGTGTCTGCGATGGGGAACGAACTTCTCTATTACCCTTTCCAAGGGCTGACGCATTCACCAACCACACTACGTGGGTCATTCGTTTCGCTTGGCTCTCTTGTTAGCACACCTGGCGAATTTATTTGACATTCCTTATGGTAATCCTCATTGTATACTATTATTTCACTGAAATATTTTTATTCTTACTTCTTTTGGTTAACAAGATACTGTAGTATTGTCATGGTGTGTTACTTGTTTTGCTACAATATTTAAATATCCGTTATCAGGATCGAGAACATTTTCGCCGAAAACTAGTTTAGATTTCGATCTTCATTCACTAAGCTTTCACCCAGTATTTTATTATGATATGCCTATTAAAGACATATGCCGTAAACGTATAAGTTATCGCATTATAGGTTTGAATCCGTGTTGTTGTATCAGTCTTGTTATCTTTCACGATATCGTTAAATGAGAGAAAAATAGGTAAAATCATTTCTGAAAGTTTGTACCTGTTTTATGTTTGTGAACGTTGATACTTGAGGGATATGAACTGGACTTCCCAGCGGTTTACCGCCTCATCGTGGCTGGTAGGTCTTCTTGGGTGTTGAGCTGCGATATACTACTGGGAGATTCATTCTCCTAGCAGGATCTCCCAAGCCGAGCCGAGAAGGAGTCCGACGTTTCCATCAGAAGGATCAGCTAAGAGTTAACCAATGCCAAGATCCACCAATGTCTTGGTATCGAACCAGTCGCGTGGCGTTGAATCTTCCTCTAATCCACAAGGGCGGCAACTGGGAATGGTGATGACGACCCGGGGCAGACTTTGGCCTGGCTGAGCTCGGAACGCCAAGGAATCACCATGGCTAGACCAGAAAAACACCGAAAAAATTGAAATTATGCTGTGGACCGCATAACCAGTGAACGTGGGGTGTTCAAGTATCCAAGTAAAGTCGAAGGGAATCTACCAAAATTACATAACGTCCATTTGTGTTCGATATTTTTGGATTCCCCGGTGGTGGAAAAGCTGGCTACCAGCTGTGACCGCGTCATTTCTTTGCTTTAAGCTTAACTCGGAATACAAACAATACAGAACATACGGGAGAGGCCCTATTCCCATCAATATTGTCGCTTATGTTACATATAGAGTGTGAAAATCTCAGCAATCATAATACAACAGCTCAGGCGCTAACTATAGAAAAGTCAAAGTGGCTAGTTAACGTAAGCACTCTGAGGAATTGTCGTAGTTATAGTAAACATTGAACTTCCTAAGTCAGAGTGCTACGTAGTATCTGTGAATAATGCTTTTCGTTACTATTATTATTGTTAATTTAGTTAGCAAGTTTTAACTTGAGATATAACTCATCTCTTACAATTACTTTTAAACTATATTCTGTACGGCGATCATTATAGGCTCGTTTGACTAGCCTGTCATCCATCCTTATCATGATGTGCTGTATTCCTTGCAGTTTCGTTCTAGTTTCATAATTTTTCTCTATCGTTTATGTTATCCGGACCTTTCATAGATCGTAATTGAAGTGCTAGAGTTTCGAAGAGATTGTTACGATATGGTCATGTAGTGGGTGTCCAAGAGTATGCCAACAAAGAAACGATGTCGTTCGAGGACGGTCGAGGATCAATGTCATCGTCGACACTCGCACCGCGTAATGTTTATGTACAAATCGCGATCGGTCGTCACATTTCTACACAACAGACTTCATAGTAGGAAAAGAAGATGGTTCGAATGTCTGGACTCATCGAGAATTCGGGGAATCTTGGTTAGAGACCGGAAGGGATAACAAGAGTAGTGTGCATGATGATGGTAATAGTCAACTGCATCAACTTATGCCAAGTTTTCCACATTTCATCTGTAGATTTCCATGGACAGAAGATTCTCTACAAGCACTTTGAAAACGCAACTGAGACACATCTCGAGTTCTACAATTCCGTTTATGTGAGCATGGTGGAATTTGGTTAACCCTACAAAGGTTTGGACGGTTACTGATCATCATCGGGCAAGGGCGAGACACCTCTTTGTGTGCACAAGAGTGAGTGGTGGTGCCTCATTGTACCATGGTGACAACCTTATTACGCTGTTTTTTAGAAGCTGAATTCATGTGTTTTTATCAGATCCTGAGACGAAAAATCTGAGGGATATTTCAAAAAGGAAGTAATGGATAGCTTAGATTTTTGCATAATTTCTATTTCATTCTACATTGAGCCACTTTCTTGGGCACAATTCGTTGTTGTTTTCGATTTTGATCTTCAGGACCCTTTTCTTTAAATCAGTTGCAGGTGCTGTTTTGTCAGTAATGGAGTATGCGTATTTGACAATAGTTGATTTACTTCCTGGCGGAAGTGGTTTTCTTGGTTCAGAATGAACATTGACGATCTTTAGTAATGGTTTGCTTCATAATCTTTCTACTTTTTTTTTTTGGGAATAAGGTTCACTGGAAAACTAGAAACTGATTTGATACCTTCTTGGATTGTTAAGGTAACACGAAATTGATAATATTGATTTCTACTAAAGAATAGAAAAGGATAAAGCTCTCTGCGTTGATCAATCCCTTATGGATGCGCCATGCATTACACTTCATTAAGCATCCTTTGGAGGTGATTGATTGCAAGTACAGCTTTTACAATGACTAGCGGTGGCCTGCCGATGTATCAATCCAGTGCTGCTATCCTGCCAGACAAGTGTGGTACCAGTTTGTACATCCATGAGGGTTGGAAAGCTTGGTTCGCCAGAGGCGCGCGAATCGATCCCATGTGTATTGCAGAGTGCCTCCGACCACTGCGCCACACGCGCCCGCTTTTACTACTGAGGTCGATTTACGGTCGGTTTGAAAATTACTTATTTGATAGATCGCTAAGGTCTACCAGGTTATATAAGCCAAATAGGCATTCATTCACTTCTTCTATGCTACGAACGGAGTGCAATGCATGTCAAGTCCGTAATGAGTTGATCAACTGCGAAAGTTTCCTTCTCTTATGCTTTGTGGAGGATTTCTGTTACATGATCGCATTGGTGATGTTATATAAACACTTCATATTTTAGAACCATTTTGTTCTGTAAAAATGCCACCGTTCATTTACACATTTCAACTTCTTTTCCTCAAATTCCAGCATGGATGATGATGATTTGGGAATTTCTGCTGGTAAATATGCTCGGCTGGATGGAGGCGATGATATGAACGAAAATAAAGAGCGATATGCACGCGAGAATCACAGCGAGGTGAGTGCCATTTTTATCCTTGTTCTACTACCGTTATACGGTATAATGTTTGTATTCCTTATAAGTGATTCACACTCATTTTATAGCAAATTGTAGCTCTTTGGTCGTCCACTGTTTGTACTTGAGATCAATAAATGCTTACGGTATATCGGGAGAAATGATGTAACTAAAGTTCCTGTTACGCTAACAGTAATTTTTGGTCACTATGGCTGTATTATTGCCCATTTGCAAGGGCAATAGTTTGACGAGGCTGATAAGCTTATTTGCTTGGCTAACGTTTCGACGCCTTCTTCTTCATCAGAGCCGATGATCCATGTCGGTGGTCCACAGTTGTTCGTAATCTCAGTGTGGCATTTAAAAACGTGTTTATTACTTTGCAACCAAGGTTGAATGATGGTCGGTTTGAAAACTGTTCTGCAATGGTTTGATTCAAATACTTTGGAATGTTAATGCATCTGTGTTCGGGGTCGCGTGTAGCGCAGTGGTCTGAGGCGCCCTGAAATACGCATAGGTGGATCCCCGCGCTCCAGGCTCACCAAGCCTTCCATCCTTCCGAGGACGGAAAATTGGTACCATAGTTGTCTGGGAGAATATCAGCACTCGCTCGACACATCGGTAGGGGACCACGAGTCATTATAAAGGCCAGATATGCATTCAATCACCTCCAGCGATGCTTAATGAAGTCGAATTAATGGCGCATCCTTCAGTGGTTGATTGGTCGACGTTGAGAACTTTATCCTTATCCTTTATACCACATCTGTCGTCCGTAAAAAGCTTCTTATTATGGATCAATATCTGTTTTCAACTGAATGTATCGCTATCGAGCTTCATTTGTTATAGATTGAACGACGGCGACGTAACAAAATGACTCATTATATCAATGAACTTGCTGAGATGGTCCCTCAGTGTGCAGCTTTAGGGCGAAAACCGGATAAGCTTACAATACTTCGAATGGCTGTATCTCACATGAAGGCAATTCGAGGACACAACAATCAGGTAAACTTGTTCTTGATCACATTCTTTCTGTTTACAATTTAAACGAAGATGTAGAACTTTCGAGTACAGTTCTTAGTTCTCCGTTTTCTGTCATTGTGCATAATTATCGCGTTCTTTGAGTACTGCTGACTTTTTAATTTCATCTTTAGTTAAATTTGAAGAACTTTCTTTTCTGGTTTTATATTAAATGGTATGACGGTTAGACGGCAAATTGAACATTTTACGTTTGTCATTATAGTTGTTGCTTGGAATTTTAGCAATGATTACTTGTTTTAGTTTAGTTGTTCGGGTAGGTTTAAGATTTGTTGAGATAGTTGTGACGCTAAGAGAGGTCATGGTCCGTTTTTCAGGATGAAAGCAGTTATAAGCCGTCATTTTTGTCGGATCAAGAGTTGAAGCACTTGATTCTTGAAGCGGCTAATGGTTTCCTATTCGTAGTATGTTGTAATACTGGCAGAATTCTCTATGTAGCAGACTCCATAACACCGGTGTTAAATTTAAAACAGGTAACCTTTCAGTTTAGTAGCCTTTTCTTTTATGCTCGATTGGAACGCTTCAGGAGGATTGGATGAACCATACAATCAATGAATTGATTCATCCAGACGACCATGATAAAATCCGAGATCAGTTATGTGGAAACGAAGTGGCCATTAATAAAGTTCTCGATTTGAAAACAGGTTTGTATGTGTACAGAAAATATTTTCTTTTTAAACCTCACAGAAAATGAGCAAGATCATTGAAAATCCGATGACGTAGATTTCCTAAGAATTGTCTTTTATTGATATAATTATTTTTTTTTGCGTTCAAAGCTTCAAATTCTGTACTTTGGACATATTAAACTTACTTGCTCGATGATTGGCAATTACACCATCTTCGCTTTGCTGATGACACCGTCCCTATAACACCAAACATTAGCCAAGCGGAACGAATGCTTGCCGACTTTGATAAAGCCTGTGGAAAGATTGGTCTTCGACTAAATCTCACAAAAATGATGTTCATGAGGAGTGGATTGGTTTCGTAAACCCCATTTATGCTCACCGGAACGAAAGTTTCCTAATGCTCCAGTTATGTCTATTTAGGTCGAGAAATCAACATAATGAACAACTTAGCTCCAGAGTTGAGCAGAAGGAAACATGGGGAGCTTCTAAGAGCATCGGGGAAGTAGTAAGGAGAACAAAGATCGCCCGACTCCGTGCCCACCTTTTCGACTCAACGGTACTCCGTGCGTTTATGCGTCGGAAACCTGATCGCTGCGTAAATAGGATGAAAAATCACCCAGAGTTATCGAACGCGCAGTCGAAAGGACGATGCTAGGAGTATCCCGTTTCATACAAGGGATGGGATCCGAAGCTCCAACCTGCGTCGACGATCAAAAATCAAAGATGCCATTCTGTTCGCCAAACAGCTGAAGATAAGGTGGGCCAGACACGTAATGCGTATGAATGACAACCAATGGACAAGGACCACCGTTAATGACTGGATTCCTCGGGATGTTAAACGAAGTGCTGGAAGACCACCGATCTGACGGTTAGCGTTCTTCACGAAAACGCTAGAAAAAAGAGTAGGATGCTCAACGAGTCCATAGAGCGAGCAGAACCCACTGGGTACTCTTGCACACGACAGGGAAAAATGGAAGATTTACTGGCGCCCGCTCGAGTTACTCGACGATCAACGAGACTGCAGGTGATACAGGTGTTACTTGCTTAGACGGCTCGTCCTCACTAATTGTGCGGTCCCCAATATAATCTCCATTTTTCGGAGTTTTGCTGGTTTAGCTGTTGTGTTTTCCTGGAATCTCAGGGTCAGCGTAGTCAAAGTCCTCAGGTCGTCACCACCACAGGCAGTCGCAGCCCTTGTGAATTAGAGGAAGATTTGTCACCACGAGACTAGTTTAATACTAGGACGGTCGTCGATCCTAGTATTGGTTTACTCCTAGATAGGCTTCCTGATAGGAAAACCGGACTTCTCAACCTGGGAGACCCTACCGGGGATGAATCCTTCCGCTGTATGTCGTAACCCGACATCTATGAATGCTTCCCAGCCACGATGAGGCCGTTAACCGTTGGGGGCTGGAGGACATATTTAATGTGAATGCAATTCTATAACGTTTCAGTCGTAGCACTGATATTCATTCATCAGTAGTAAATTGTAGCATAAACGTTTGGATGTAATTTTAGTGGCGAACTGGATTGTTCCGAATAGTTATTATCGTAATATTTACTTATCCTATGTGCAAATGCTTTAATACACTAGACGAAATGATAAAGTGGTTCTGAGAACAGTGCATTTTGATTAGCATTCCTCATTCATCTTACTCTTCAATATTTTGAGGTACCGTTAAACGTGAAGGGGCAGCGTCACGAGTTCATATGACGTGTCGAAGAGGTTTCATCTGTCGTATGCGCCTTGGTCCGTTAGAGCCTTTGCATCGGCTGCGAAACCGCCGGCCCCTTTTCCAACATGGAGGTTGTTGCTACTGTTATTATTATCGCTCGCTACTTTATTTCACTGTTTCTATTTTAGGACATAATTATGTTGTTATGCATTGTACTGGCTATATAAAAAATACACCACCAACTGGCATAGAGGCGCCGCCGTCGTCATGCCTCGTTGCGATTGCCCGACTGCAGGTGAGAAGAATCTTCGACTCATTGTTTGCCGATCTCGAGACAGGTTATGTGATCGTAGTTATTTATTTGTTTGTCTATTTATAATGTATTCTTGTTCAGATAGATAGTGTTGGCAAACTAGAGCACAGAGTCACGATTTATGTCTATTACAACCATTTGCACTACGTTTTTAGAGAGGAAGGATAGCTAGAGGACCAGTCATGGCTTGTAAAAGCTATAACAAAACTCTAGTTAATACTGTATTGTTATCCGTACCATTTATACATCGTTATACATACACAGATCTTAAAGAATTTTAATTTTTGTGCCATGCTTCACTTCAGTATTACGTGTAGTACATCACGTTACAGGTCGCTTCAATGCCAGTATGTGATCCTACGGAGTTGTCGAGAATTTCAATGCGAGTGGCCGACGACGGCAAAATGACGTTTGTTGACGCTCGGGTTTCTCAACTTCTAGGTCTCAGCCCTGACCAATTAGTAGGACGATTCTGGTGGCAAGTCGTTCATCCGTCCGATGAGCAAACTCTGCACGACTCTTTTATAGCCCTAGTGACGTAAGTCCTTATGATGTAACTAATTTCCATGGTATTCGTTATTTGTGGTACAGTTTTCGGTTGGAAAATGCGATATGATGACAGCCATAGTAACATTATGGTGCGTCGCTTTTATCCGTCTTTGGTTAGATCACCAGCAATTGAACTAAGTACTCCATGCCTTGGTATTTTCCACTTGATAGGACATTCATCAGCATCGTGCAAACCAATGAGTTGTCACTGGTTCGTTCGTGCAAGTTCTTGTCGTATCAAAATCAGCGTTCATGTATCTATATCTATAAAGGGGACCATTTGTAAATTAGCTGTGTGCCTACTACACTAAGAAATTAGAAGACTTCGGAACTAAAACATAAGTTGCATATGTATCTATATCTTTAATATCAGTGAGATAGGATGACTCTCGGGCGTATACTGTAATGCATTTGACTCCCGTTTCTAGACGAGTGTAGTAAACCGCTTATTGTTAGTTATTGGTGGCGAATTCACCTGTTTCATATAATGCTGTGTTCTCATCAACTCTCCAATAATCGCACTACGAGCACATGATGCATAACATTACTTCTTTGCAATTTTCACATGCCATGCATCTCTGTTATCTAATTACAGACGTGATCAACCGTTACGACTGAACTGCCGTATTCGATCAGCTACTGACTACCGACCATGTACAATCTCTGCATACAAGTTCTTGAATCCATTTAACGAGCAGTTCGAATTCATTGTCGCTACTCATCATATCATATCAGTTGACGAGGAGTCGTGGATCTCTAATACCACTGACCCTGGTCCCGCTTATGCACCTCCTGCTGCTGATTATTCTTCACAGGAGTGGAGGACCCAAGACCCTTCCAGGAACTCCGCAACTTGGCCTGCATGGGATCCGCAAACATATCCACCACACTCATGAGAACCATGTTTAACAGTCATGGGAGTGATCGTTCAAAGTCGTTTCAAATGATAAAGAACATTAATTAGCTTTAATGTATTTGTTTATAAAGGGTTCAACTCTTTTTTCATCTAACACAGTGTATTCCCATAGCCATGTATAGAACAGTATGTTTCATTTAAAATAATAAGTGATAGTAATCCACGGAATACCACTATGTCGTAGGTGATTTAATACAGATGAGAAAAGACCAGTCAGTCTACTATCAGAACAAGACTAATTTCCATATGATAACTAGGCGTAGTATAAACAACACGCTGAAAAGGACGGGTAACAGTAACAGAGCAATGGAAAGGCTACATTGGTCCATTTTCAATTGTCTTTACATCTTGTATACTCATAAAAAGGACAAAAGGATAAAGCTGTCGGCGTCAACCAATCCCTGAAGTATGCGCCATGCATTCGACTTCATTCAATATCGTTGGAGATGATTGAATGCATATCTAGCCTTTACAGTGACTCGCGGTAGCCTACCGATGTATCGAGCCAGTGCTACTATCCTCCTAGGCAAGTCTGGTACCAATTTGCCGACCCCGAAGTGGTGGCTTGGTGGGCCACGGGCCTGGGGATCTATTCCACGTGCGTGTTGCAGGGCGCCTTCGACCACTGCGCCACACGCACCTTTTGTCCACTCATACACACCCGTAGAACTCCAAGGATATGTTAATTAGCAATTATACTTACACCGCACAAGGGAATACGCACATTGGATCGTAAGAAACGGCTCATCGACATTTTCTGCACACCTTTATGGATCCCATGGTTTTGTTTTGGATTTTGATTGAATAAACACGAAAATGTGTTGGCATCAATACGCATTGCTAACTATCCCTCACGCCTGTACTAAAACCAATGCATATGGTCACGAATGTGTGTACTGCTGTTGTCCTAAACACGGAAATGAGAGAAAAAGTATGAGCACTAATGTTGTCTCAAAATAAAAACGACTATATTCGACAGTACAACTAGAAATTAGTACTTATAGAACATCTGGGATCCCACAATGTCAAGGTTTTGAACGATATCGAGAAGTGATTTGAAATTCATTGACAAATAGGTCTCCTTGTCAAAATAAAGTGACCAACTATAAACCATGCTCTGTAATTTTGTTCTTAAACATCCCTAAATATCTACAATTTATTCTGACCGTATTAATACAACAGAAGTCGAACCTAGCACGCATATTCTATACCATCGGACAAATACGGAGCTGGATACTCCTCCGGCTTCCGCCAGTTAATTGCAATTGGGTCGTTCGGTCGAACAACGTCGTAATAACCACGATAGTACGGTTTATCGATGTTGAAGATTCCGTACTTGCGCAGCTTGTAAATACCAATGACAAGTCCCGCCAAACCGACTGAACAGTACATGATGGTTTGCTCCGGATACTCCTTCAGCATTCTGTGTGGTAACGCCTTCCAGTATCTTATGATTCTTGTCGTACGCGGCACATGAAACTTCGGCATGGTGACGCAACTCAGGATTCTGGAAAGTTATACACATGAGGAATGAAGAGAACATTGCTCCGGACTACAGGTGCCTGCAGTGGGGATCGAACTTCACTACTACCCTTTCCGGAGGCTAACACGTTTGCCACCACACCATGCGGGTTCTTCGTTTCGCTCGTATCCCAGTTAGCGATAATTAACATTGGCGACAATCTTAACCTTTTTATTCACTGCCTATTCTTTTTAATGACACGATATGTTACGAAATATAATTTGTGTAATGCTGAGATATTTGCAGAACTCCGGACCGCAAGTTTTTGCGGTGAGGAACGGATGCGCTGTTGTCCTATTCGGGGAGTAACGCGTTCACCACCACACCATGCGGGTCCTTCGTTTCGCCTGTCTCTCGGCTAGTTCTTTCGGTCACTTACCATCATCAATCACCCGTTAACGGGAATGATCTGGCAAGCCCTAGCTGGGACAAGAGCGAAGCGAAGGACCGCATACTGTGGTGGTGAACGCGTTACTCCTTGGAAAGGACAACAGCGTGTTCGTTCCCCACCGCAGACACCTGCGGTCCAGATTTTTTCAAATATCTCAGCATTATACAAGTTATATCGGTGATAATATTTGAAAAAATATTGGTAGTACTTTAAGAAAGACCAGAAAAACAGTGGAGTGACAAATAGTACACGGTAAAGCCACCATATAAACATTTCTAACACCTTGTCGAATTGTTTTATACAAAATCTGAGCGTCTTTTTAGTGTACACTTTCAAATACAGTATGTCATTCTCTATTAACAGCAATTATAATAACAAGTAACCAAACAATGATTATCCAAGTCGATCTATTCACTCATTCGCTTCTGTTGTTCGAGGATATGCTCCGTAGCTGTCACCTTCGGCGTCTTGTGTCGAGACAACTCTGGATCCGGGAAATTCGCAGTGTTCACTCGCGGGGATAACCACGTCACTGGTGTCCATTCACCCTACAAGTAAATTCAATACGTACAAATCCAACAGCAACGCTTATTATTTCCTTTTCATCTTGAGGTTCCTTTCCGTTATTTTCGCTTTTTATTGGTATCATGGCTTAAAAAGCGAACGGTTTAAAACAATAACATATCTTTTAATCATAAATTGCCTTTTCAATGATTAGATCCGATTTTTCACTTTTCAATGTAATCGTTTCACGTTAAAAGCAATTAAAAAAAGGATAAAGCTCTTGACGTTGATCAATCCGAGGGATGTGCCATGCATTCGACTTCGCCAAACATCGTTGGCGGTGATTGAATGCATATCTGGCCTTTACAATGATTCGTGGTGGTCTACTGATGTATCGAACCAGTGCTGCTATCCTCGCAGACAAGTTTGGTACCAATTTGCCGACCCCGAAGCGATGGAGGGTTTGGTAAGCCTGAGACGTGGGAATTGACCCCATGTGTTTTTCGAGACGCATCCGACCACTGCGCCACACGCACTCTTCGTTAAAAAGAGAATAATTCAAACGACGATATTATGTAGACCATTTCGGAACAAAAAACTAGTCCTGCAGTGGCAAAACTTTCTAGTCAAATTTGCGCTTCGAAACAACCACACTGTCTAAGCGCTCGTTTTTTAGTGAGACTGGTGAAATTTCGATACAGTATTTAAATGCCTTCGGAACACACGAAATCTACACATTCAGTATTCTTGCATATCGACATAGCAGAAACGCTACCCACTCGTAAGTACTTGGGTGATTTACGCTTTAACCACTAAACTAAAGGCTAGCAAGCTCGAACAACACTTGTTTTACTTCCATGCTATTGGATTCCAGAACAGTTCTATCAAAATCGTGTTCTACTGTGTTTGCGGTGGAGAACGGACGCGCTGTTGTCCTTTCCGGGGAATAACGCGTTCACCACCACACCATGCAGGTCCTTCGTTCCGCCTGTCTCTCAGCTAGTTCTATCGATCACTTGCCAACAGTAATCACCCGTCAACGGAATTGATCAGAAATTCAAAAACCCTCAGGAATTCATCAACACCGAGAGCTTTACCTTTTTATTTATCCTTTATTCCACTTTTATGCTGTACTTTTTCTCATACTCCTGCCTTAACCAAACAATATTGAACAATATCTTTTACCAAACATGTTGCTGCTGCTATGATTTTCGCAACACAATGTTTTAAAAAGTGATATAACTCTTTTGCGGGAAAAGCCATTTGTTAAAAAGAAAAGGTTCAACAGACCTGCACAGAAGGGATTGCCGCACTTTGTCGAGATTCCAGTTTCACGATAGGGAGACCGCTTCGAGAATACAACAAATTAACGTCTTTTTCAACATCCTCCATTGTCATGTTCTTAGCGTTTAGTTGCACAACTCTCCCATTGCTGTATTCTGCACGAATCACAGGATTTGTATTTCGAACGGGTTGCGTATATACAACCACTGATGGTGATTGAGCTGCTGAAATTAGAAATAGAGGTCCAACCTTTTCAATGAGCGATTATTTACACGACCAAAATTAAGAATGGAAGTGAGAACTTACCAAGATCAAGGAGTTTTTGCTCAATGAAGTTTCGAACGCCAACACTACTTTCACTCTGCTTACAGAAACGAAATGTGATCCTGAAATGAGGACGATTTTAATGATATTCTGAACAAAGAATGAAGCATAAACTTCATGGCGCTGGTCAATCGAGATGTACCATGCATTCGACTTCGCCAAGCATCGTTGGTGGTGAATGAATGCATATCTGGCCTTTACAATGACTCGCTGTGGCCTACCGATGTATCGAGCAAGCGCTGCTATCCTCCTAGACAAGTATGGTACCAATTTGCCGACCCCAAAAGGTTCGAGAGCCTGGTGGGCTTGGGGCACGAAGATTGATCGCATCGATATTGCAGGCCGTCTCTAACTACTGCGCTGCACGTGCTCCTGATATTCATATGATAAACATTTTTGTTTCAGTCTTAACATTTTTATTTACTGCCTATTCTTTTCAACAACAGAGTATTTTGCGAAATATAGCTATTATAATGCTGAGATATTTGCAAAAGTCCGGGCCGCAGGTGTCTGCGGTGGGGAACGAACGCGCGCTATTGTCCTTTCCGGAGAGTAGCGCACTTCACCACCACACCATGCGGGTGCTTCGTTTCGCCTGTCTCTCAGCAATTCTATCGATCTTTTTGCCATCAGCAATCACCCGTCAACGGGATTGATCTGGGGGGCCCAATTTTTGTTTCAATCCAGTCGATATACAGATCAATGTAAATTTCCAATTCTAGCAGATTTCAATCAATTTCGTGTACTCCAATAGGGCCTAACGAATTGGAGATATCGCCATGACGTCATATTCGCGCACAAAAACGCCGTGACATTCAAAAGTACGCATTTAACACTACGAATAGCATAACCGTTCTCGGAGAATATTTACTCACACTATTACGCAGTTTCTTTTCGTATGATGTTTATTACATTTATATCGATACTTACTTGGATAATTGGATGACCACTCCTCACTGCTTGTGCGTGCTCCAGGATAATGTCCAATTTTTCGGAGTTTTGCTGGTTTAGCCATTGTGGTTCCCTGGAGTCCCGAGGTCAGTCAAGCCAAAGTCTGCCCCACGTCGTTACCACCACAGGCAGTCACCGTCCTTGTGGATTAAAGGATTTGCCATCATGCGACAAGTTTGGTATCACGATGGTGGTGGATCCTCGTATTGCTTTACTCTCACCTGGGCTTCCTGACGGAAACACTGGACTCCTTTTCAGCTTGGGAGATCTTGCCAGGGGATGAATCCCCGCTGTACATCGCAGTCCGACACCCAGGAACACTTCCCAGCTACGATGAGTCGGTAAACCATTGGGAGGCTTACACGATAACCTTAGTCAAATGAAAAAAATTTGTGACTCGTACTAATCTATGCGTTAAAAAATATGTGCCTATATAAAAAAGCTAGAATTTTCTCCAGAATGCCATAACATCGTCATTGAAATTAGTCGACAAGAGCCAGTGGTGTACTCATGACAAGAGATCAGATGCCATGTGAGGCGCTGGTTCACAATCGTTTTCGGGACTTGTACATCCAAATTATTTACAACATTTAAACAATAAAAGCATAGCAATTGTAGCAATAACGAACCCTTATATAGGGAAACCGACGCAAAAGCTGGTAATGAACGAAGGGAAAACTAGCTAAAGCAGTAAAGAAATACCTGTGGATTTGAGGCATGTACCTAGAAACACCGTTGTAAGCAGGAGTGCGAAGAATGTCGGTGAACCTCCAAGCAAAATTTAAAGACTTTGCTGCTGAATAAATAGTTTTTATTCGATCCACTCGAGGTACTGCCGGCATGGCTGAAAACAACCTCGTGTAAGCTTATCAAGGAAAGAATACATATTGATTATTCATACCGAGGTTAAAGGGAAGTCGGTTTTGAAATATTACGAATATGATTGTTACATGAAATGAAAGCAGTACACAAATTTGCAGCTCTGTTTAGATTTCACACCAGTGCCTCGAAAAACAAGTATAACCAACCGTAGAGTAAAAATACGTCAAAGCGGTACTCAGGGTAATTCCTAAGAAAATGTTTTCTCTTTGAAATAGGAGGTATAAATGCATATACTGTGGTGAAAAATACTTCGTCATGTCGATTGTTTTGTCTGCACTACACATGAAGGCACACAAACCAAACATGAATTAATTTTGTGAAGCTGTTCGGTCGGTATGGGACAAATGGTCTTCACGTGTGGTAGAACTATGGATATTTTGTAGTGAGCTTTAGTGCCAATAGATTTGTTCTAAAATTAGGTGGCATACAATTAGAAGCGTAATGTTTGTGCAGATAATTGGTGGTTGGAGATCCTCCAGAACAAGACTGTGGAATCCCTTCGCTGGAATATCACTACACCAATAATGGATCTGTGTAAGGAGACCATAGATGAATCATAATGGGCCCAATCTATAGTGCTCATATCGCCATTGGTCTTTGACATTTTCACGACGGAGCTGGTTTTTTTTGGTAACTGACGACAATTTCTCAATCACTGCAGAATTTCAGGTATTTCGCACTGGTAAGCTCATACAGTAGGCCTCCATTTGTTGCCATAATCGCATATACAATCTTCATACAATGCCCTTTCAACTATAAATATGTTCAAGACCGAAATTGTCGAGGAATCGACAATGAAACTTAAGGTTTTAAAAATCCGATGCTTTCTTGATAAGCACACCTGAGGTTGTTAAATAGCTAAACATAAAGCTCTCGGCGTTAATCAATCCCTTAGGGATGAGCCATGCGTTCGACTTCATTAAGTGTCGTTGGAGGTGAATGAATGCATATCTGGCCTTTACAATGACTCGCGGAGGCCTACCGATGTATCGAGCTAGTGCTGCTATCCTCCCAGACAAGTCTGGTACCAAGTTGCCGACCCAAGGGATGGAAGGCGTGGTGGGCTATGGGCACGGGGATCGATTCCACGTGTGTGTTGCAGGGCGCCTCCGACCACTACTGGGTCACACGCGCCCCTGAGGTTACTACTAAGTATTTATTCGCAACAGCTGACCTTTTGGGATATTTCAGCTTCTTCACGGAAAACGTAGAGTTCACTCGCATTGGCAACAAAATAGCTTCTTCTCACACCCACCACTTTCTATGAATCCTCGACAGAGTATTCAATGTGGAGAACAACGGCATCACGTGGATAGGTCTATTTTCACATTAAAATATGTCTTAAATACGGTGTGAGATCAGGCCTCAACGAACCATTCCTCCCTACTGTTCATTTCCAGATTATTGGAATTCTTTATTCTATTTCACTTTACAGAGCTCTTTTGATCTTACCAAGAAGGGCATTTTCTAAGCAATCAGCTAAAGAACTGAATAAGTCCCAGTTTGTGGTGGTTTTGGGACTTTTGGATCTAGCAGCTATTTCTCTTTTCCGTGAAAAATGGCATCTTGCACAAAGAAGGTGCTGGTCTGATTCGGTGCAGAAATTCAGGACAACAGCGATGTAGTTAAATAAAACCTTCGATTTACTATGGTATGATATATTTCCTGTAGTACTCTCTAGGAAGATAGCTCCACATCCAGTGTTGAGAGTAAAGTTTCTGGAGCATGATAAACTCAAACACCAGCTCATACTAGTCATTCCATTCTAATCTATGGGAACCAATGTGACGTTCATCAGATGTTCCTCTAGGTCCAGTCTTAGCGTTAGAATTTCCAATGGTGACCTTAAAGAATGTGTGATCTTCTCTATGGAACTTCTCCAAGACCATACAGAACGCTTCGACTTCTTGTCAAAGCCGGTATTGATCCACATCTTTTTAATCGTAAACATCCGGTTCGGATTGTTAGTTGTTCAAATGAATCAATGTTCATGGACAAACTCTTGTCGACGAGAACGCCGACTGCGCCGACTCTAGTGTCGCATGTTCCGAGGAACATTTCCTTTCCGGTGTCATAGACGCCGTTAAATAGGTGGCGTCTTCTCGTCTCGGCCAGGTCGATGACGTCGTACTTTATCGTTCTTTCTTGCATCAGCAAGTCTTCTATAGAGGACTCGGGTGAAAGTCTACGTGCACTGTAGGTACAGATCGTCACCCTAGTTCTTTGCGATCTAGGCAGCTTAGAATGGTCCTGAGATTTTACCAGCTTCTCCTTTTTATTTTACTCGTCTTATCTAACTTTTTTGGTTTGAGGTAGCTACTAAATACTACTTATTCACAACGGCTGACATTCCATACACCTTTGTCAGAAGATGGGATAGGTCAAGTTGACGGAAATCGAGTCAATCAAATACGTCCATGACCCCAACGGAAAAATCACGCAACCTAGATTTCGGTCGAATTGGTAACAAAGTACCTTCTTCGCACTTTCACCGCTTTCTACGAGTCTTCCACTGAGTATCTCACGTGGAGAACAACCGCACAAAGTTCACATGGAAACGTAATGTGATAGCGTAATGTGTTATGTGATAACGAGGCATCGTTACCCGAGGTTCATCTTTGCATTTTAAAGTTTCTCACCCCATTTTTCATACAGGAAGCAGGTAGCACAGTGGCAGTGATGCCGGTCATCACTAGCACGGTGTTGGTTCGATCGTGCTCCAGTCTCAACAAGCCTCTCTCAGGGGTTGGGAAATTAGTACCGCACTTGTCCGGGAAATGAACCACTCTCTGCAACCCAATTGGAAGAGCTCGAGCCCCGCTATCTCAGGATTCCAGTGAGATCGACTCGCCCGGCATTCTACGACATTCAAAATGAAATAGAAATGCTCAAGGAGCAGCCCAAGCCACACGTAAAAGTTGCAAGACCTTTGTGGATGATGGATGCGAGGAAATGAATCGAATGTGAGAAGCGTTGGGATCCACACAGTAGAGGTAGGTCGTTTAACACAAAAAAAATTCCGTGACAACGCGCATCTTCTTCACTCATATTTGCTCTGAGAAGTGAAGATGTAAGTGACGTATGTGAAGCAGCACACTTTAAATTGGATAGTAGCAGTATTCTACAGGCAATAATAGGAAGAATAACATCCATCTTTGTTGGCAATCTTTGACGTGAATGTGGTTCTTCGTCTTGGAAATCAAAACCCTCCCTCCTGTTTTCTACCATTCGATCCCTCACATGTAGACCTTGGCGCCTGCTACCCAACGTCTGCTGTAACTCTGTTTTCGCTCCATTGGAGCCATAGGGCTTCCATGAACTCTTACGACCAGCGCGAAAACTTCTTAAGGCTTTTTGGATAAATACCAAAAACCCTACAATGAAAAGTAGGGAGGAATGCCCCGAGATCACACATGATCTCGCCCCGTACCTTCGTGTCGATCGTTGATGTGGGGAGGTGCAGTCGTCAACCATATGCGACTCTGAGCGGCGGTCCTCCCCCGTGAAGGGCACATAAAAAAAGCGGTGGGTTTTTCGAGAAACTGTTGGTCATGTGACTACCATTTAGATTCTCATTTTTCTGTACGTGTTATTGAAGGGTTTGACATAGTAAATTGTATAAGTGTACCCTTCCAGGAAGTAATTACTAATCTGGATAACGTATTATTATCAGTTTGTTATCAGTGAGTTGAAGCTTGGATCAATGGAATTGCGTTTGACTCCAAACCAAAAGGTCCGGCGTTCGAACAGCTCAGTAGTCAACAGTTTTGCAAAGTCACTGTCCAAACTAGAATTTTTCATTTGAATGTATCATAGCAAGAGAGCCACTACAATATGGTTTGTGTGGGAACCTCATTCGGCGGCCACTTGGCGCAATGGTAGCGCGTTCGACTCCAGATCGAAAGGCTACGCCTTCGGTCCTCTCATTGGTCAACAATTTTGCAATAATTATTACGGAAACTAGAATTGCTTATTTAAATGCATCATAGTAAAGGAGCTACTATAAGAAGGCTTGTGTGGCAATCCTATGCGGCGACCGCTTGGCGCAATGGTAGCGCGTTCGACTCCAGATCGAAAGGTTGGGCGTTCGATCCGCTCAGTGGTCAAGACTTTTGCAACCGCTATAATCGAAGTTCAAGTTGCTTATTTCAATGTACCATGATAAAGGAGTCACCATAAAGCTTCTCATGCATTATCGGAGACCGACGACCACTTCGCGGTAGTCTGGTATACAATAATATACACAACATCGTGTGCAGCATAGTAGCTCAGATGGTAATATACATTGGAGCGATAGCTGGTTCGGTGCCACCCCAGACCGACTGAACCTTCTATCCGTCCTGGATAGACAGATTCGTAACTTCTCCAGGAGCATAAAATCATTTATTGTCGCTTTATGTCGCTAAACCGTAAGTTATTGTAGATGCCAAATATGCATTCAGTCACCTCCAACGATGCTTGATGAAGTCGAATGCATGACGTGTCCCTCAAAGATTAATCAACCACTGGACGATTTGCCCTTTATCCATTCTACGCAGTATCAAATTGTAATAAACTTAGTCTGATGCTCGAAAAATACCTCTCGAGTTTCAGGAAAATTGAGACAGTAAGCTTTAAACACTAAAATATTGGGCGATATAAACACTACTCAAAAGAATTCTAGTTTAAACGAAAGGGCTAAGGTTATAGTACCCAACTGAATGTAGACAAGGAGAATCATGGCCTTGTAAAAGATTCTCATGGAAAAAAGAACGGTAACATTCAATGGAACCCTCGTAAATTCTTATGCGTAGATGAGAAGTGATAAGTTAAAGTCGTCCGCTGTGGTGTAAGAAACTCAGTAAATCAGTGCGACGTATTCAACTAAGTAAATTTGTAAAAGCCTTATATCGAACCTTTACAAGTCAACTAATTAACGTTATTAGCGATGTAAAGTGATTATTTTACACAGTTAAAACAC